AAAAAAAGAACATTGGCACAAACCTAGCCTGTATGTATTTTTTGTATGTCACCGAGAGTGTTTAAATGATTTTCAAGCAGAAAAAAAATTTGCGATTAAAATGCGATTAATCGCGAGTTAACTCAGGCATTGATGCGATTAATCGCGATTAAAAAAATTGAATCGATTGACAGCACTAATATTTATACATGCACTTCCATAGCACAATAAAAAAGAAAAGAGAAAAGAAAAGTGGCGGGGGCTTAGCAAACACTTAAATCCATTTCAGAGATTGACATTTCTTCTTGAGGTCCTCCTGGGCTCATATGAAGGTATGTAGACATATCCAGTGTTTTCCATTGAAGGAGAGAGACATAAAAAGGGGCTGACAGCTTTTTATAACCCGTAGCATCTTAATCCGTGTGGCGGTTCAAAGTGGGAAATAGCTGGAGTCCATACACTCAGAAAGATGTTAATTTTTACATGAAGTTTATCTTTATACACATTCTTCAATCTTTCTTGCCATTGTTGAAGGTGAGAGGCAGGGGCTTAAGCCAGGATAGAGTTATCACTGTCATTGCTACTAGAAGTAGAATCCGTGGTAACTTAGCTTCCTGTCATGATCACCACGCTGATAGCTGACCTAGTTGCTCATTTCACTCAGCTGCCTAACTCTGCCCGGTTACAGATTATCAGTCATCTCAGAGGGGGGGCCCAAAAGACTGTGTTGTCCCGGGCCTAGCAGAGCTGTCAGCTGGCCTGTCACTGGGTGTGTCCTGTTCCTGTTCTTGCCTCAGTGGAGGGAGTGAGTTTTAAAGTACCGTAGTTTTCCTGTTATCATGCCTTGTTCTGCCTCTCTTCTACTGAGCATGGCCTCAGTAAACCCCCCCCCTCTCCGTTTTAATAAACGTTTTGAATCTTCCCACTGTCTGTCTCACCTTGAATATTGGGTCCTAAGTTCTGACTCACTTCTGACAAATGCAGTCGATCCAGTGTTTAAGTGAACTTAAATATTTTTTAAAATGATTCTCTGAAGTCCTGGACAGAAAGGAATCAGTACGGCATTAAAAATGTGAGTTTGATCCCCAGGCTACGATCCTCCAACACACATTTGAAGCATTTCTGTCATATTTTCCAATCCTGAAAGGTGTTTTGAAGAATCTCATTCTTAACTTTCAGTGAAATTCCTTCCAACCTGGACTGTGGGTGATCTTTAACCCTTTTTCACAAATCTCCTCATTCTTATTAACAATATTCATTTCTAGTTCCCTCTTTTGTTTATATTTATAGAACTGTTAGAGAAATCCATCTGAAAGGTGCCTGTTTTAATTGATGTTTTTAACCAAACAACCAACACAGTGGTCCTTTTCTTTATGATTCAAGCTCACACTAGTGTATATTAATTTCTTTAACAAATTTCTATTTAAATTGACAGATGGGATTTCCCAGATTGAACTTCCTAATGTAAATCCAAACAGCCTCAGGGAAACTTCTTTCAGACTGTTGATTCAGGAAATACGGAGCTTCGAATGGTCATAAATTACCCAAGATTGGAAGATATTTTCCATACAGTATCCTTACGTGAACATGTTTTCTGGTCTGAATTTAGTATATATCCTTCTCGACACATGCAGTTGTAAGAATCAGCGTTGTTGATACAAATGTGCTGGCAGTCGTGTCCCTGGGCACATGCATCCGAACCTGGAGGATGACACAGAGTCAGTTTACTCTGTCCCAAACATGATTTAGTTTTCAATTTATGTTCAATCTATGGCATAACCTGGGAATGTCTGAACCACTTGGTTTAATAAAAAACTGAAGGAAAAAGTCACAGAAATTCATCTTGAAATAGGATGTTAAGATTTTTTACAATGGAACATTTCCATTGTAGAAAAAAGTAGATATAAAGACCAGAAAATGTAATTTCGTCGGACGAATAATAATCATTCTTACTACTGATTTTTTGGACTTCCTCAGTATCCATGTTGAGCCTTTAACCTCCTAAACCCGACCGGCCCAGTACAGGGCCCAACTGACACCTGCTCATTTTTATCTATTTATAGAAAAGGCCAAAACACAGTTGCATGGTGTTTGATCCCCATGCCTTTCAAATGAGGCATTAAAATTTTTAAAACAAGTTTCAAAATAATTTTTTCACAAATACTTGTGCCAAAATCAAATTTCTGCCAAGTGCACTGCCCACTAAAACCTTTGTGGAAAAAACATGCTCTAAATTATTCAGTCCAAATTTGCTTGAGTTGTAGTCGAGATGTGGATCTATAAAGTCTGAGGTTCATCCAGAGTTTCAAATGGGCTTTCATGGTGTTTATTTTGGAAACAAATTTGGCGAGGCTAAACATTTTTCTTTTTTTTCTTTGTTTAATCACCTTTAAATCAGACATTTAAAATAGTGGTTCAACCTGAAAAAATATTCCTCAATGCCTTTCTGTCACAGAAATGCAAACAATTGTATTTCCAATGTATAGTTTGTGAGCTGGACTTGCTTTAATTCACATGTTATTTCAGGCAGAATTTGCTCCTAAGTGTCCCTGGGCCTGAGTGGTTAAATAAAGAAGATATGATCTTATCGTTTCAGTCAATGTGTGTCATGCTGCTACTTCACTCAAACAGAGAGGAAGTTATGATGCTGGGAGCATGAAAATGTTTTCACAGAGCAGCACTGGCATCACATTGTGTTAGAGAGTCACGGAAGGAGCCTTTACATTACATTTACCTTGCAAATCAGTAGATATCGAGTTGGTAGCTTTCACGTGATTATAAAGGTGCCTCGCACATTTAGGAAATTTAGAAGAAACAAGAGCAGATGGTAGAGCAGGAACAAACATTGGTGGCTGGTTTTGTTGTCTTTGCATCTAATATGCAAGGATTCCAAATAAGGAGCTTTTAACAAAACAAAATGCTCAAAAAAAAAAAGAATTACACAGGAAATACTCAGGCGAGCGTGGTGCAGGAGATCTACAAAGATTGCATGTGGATAAGATGTGCTACTCAATTTAATATAATTACATAAGTAAATAGTTTGTGCTACTGACAGTTTAGGAGAAAGATGAAGTTCTAAGCAATAAAGATAAAGTTAATAATTATAAGAATTATTAAAAAAAAAGTCATAATATTGAATAATAGTTGCAGTTTACATATAAGCATATCCAATTCTTCAAAAGATTATAAGATAAAAATAAAAAATAACAGATTAAATATGAATCATAAAACCTACTTTCAAGTGACTCTGGCCCATGAAGCAGCTATCGTCATATTTTCAGCACAATTATGCTCTAAATAGCTTTATTTATGTTTACCAACTCCTGAGATCAGCCCAGATATGTTTATATGGACAGAAAATCTCTATCTTCTTTTATGACACACATAACTCCTCTGTGGAGTGAATTTACAGCTGGATGTGGATCATCTTTGCACATGCTACCTTGTTTATACATGTTTATTGAGATGCAAAGCTTTTGAATATCAAACCCTTCGTGTTTTAGGAGTGAAAGCTGTGTTCCTGTTCCATGTCAGTTATTCATTGTTCTAAGTGGCTAGCATTAATACTAAAAGCAGTACAGATTTCTGACATTGTACATGTTGTTGTTTTAAATAAATAAAAATGTAAAAACTCCCAAATAGATGCTGGATCAGTTATAGAGGCTCTCAAAGTTCCTTTTCTTACGTGAGCATGTTTTCCTGTCTGTGTTGAGCAAATAACCCAACCGACACTTGCAGACGTACGAGCTTCCACTGCTGACACATATGTGTTGGCAGTCGTGTCCCTGAGCACATGCATCAGAACCTGAAAAGAAAAGTTCAAACATCAGAGTATGCTGATATTTGACCCCCCTTCAGTTCAATTCATTTCATTTCAATACAAACTAGTTCAATTCAGTTTATTTATATAGCGCCAATTCACAACACATTATCTCCAGGCACTTCTAAGCAGAGCAGGTGAACGGAGCCGAGTGCCGCGCAAGTCCTGCTCCCCGCTCAGGAGGATGTTTGCTAATTCGCTCCGCCGCTAAAAGTTGCACCAAGACGCTCCGCTACAAGACTACATTAAAAAAGATCACTTCCCATCCCATGCAAATTAGATAATAGCATTAAAATAACATATAATGCATGTATAGGATCCATTTTCAAAAACATGCTCTTACCACAACAGTCACTTTATGTAAACCAACATATATTGTATATTGCTAAGTATAGTTAGCTTCTGTTTTTATGATATTTTATCCCACTTTTTTCACACAATATCCAATCCTCATCTTGGCGATTCTGTGGTTGAAACATAGACTATAACAGATTAAAGGCACAGACTACAGCTTAGGCTGTAGGCAGTGGCTGAAGCTTGTGCAATACAGATTTTTTAAGCATAAAAAAACTATTGGCCTGCAACTGTTTTTAATTCAAAACATGTTGAAAAATATCACACTTAAATCAAATAAATGTTTTTTTATCTGTTGTCAGCTCATTGGTCACAACGCAGGACAGGGCCCGGGAACAAGTTTACCGTACGATTTG